TATGGTCTTTCTCTCCAGTGTGAGTTCTCCAGTATGTTATAAGGTGAGAGCTACAGTGGATTGTGTTTATAAAGTTCCTCACCATTGTAAATCCTCTGACAAGGTGACAGCTCCATCTGAAGGATTTCCCACAATTATTACATTCATAGTTTTAAAAAAATCCTTTGTTGTCTAACAGGCTAAGCCACCTGTTTTTTCACATTTATTACATCACTAGACATTAATTTCAGAATGAATGATTTCATGTTTAGTGAGCATTCTCTGAATATTTTTGTCAGAATCGAAGATTAGAGGGTTTCTGTCCTGTGTGAGTTCTCAGATATATTGTAATGTAGGATTTCCTGCTGAAGGATTTTCCACATTCACCACATCCATATGGTTTTGCTTCAAACTAAGTACTTTTATGTTTTTACTGTGTATTACTCTTTGTGTTTCTGTGACAAAAATGCCTGGTTCAGGCATCTTAAGAGAGGAAGGATTTATTTTGGTCAATGGTTTGAGAGTATGCAGTTCATTAAGGCAGAGAAGACATGTTGACTAGCAGCTCTATGGTGGTAGAAGCTTGTAGCTGAGATTTCTCACTTGACAGTGAGCCAGGAAGCAAAGAAAAGGAAATGCTGATGCTTAGCTGACTTTCTATTTTCAACTTTCTATTCAGCCTCAGATCCCAGCCCATGGAATGATGCCACCAACCTTTAGGGTGGGCCACCTCTCATCAGTTAATCTTCTCTAGAAATGGCCTCATAGACTTGATGAAAGGTGTGTCTCCAAGGTGATTTTAAACTCTGTCAAGTTGGCAATGAAGATGAATAATCACATTCACTTAAGGTTAAATTACCTTAAGGAGAAGGAAGAAAGAGCCTTTTCCCATCCATCATCTTTAAAGGGGTTTTCTCCAGTATGAATTCTCATATAGGCTATGACATAGGTGTTCCTGCTGAAAGATTTCTCACACTCAGTTCACTTTAAAATTTAGTTCTAATATAAATTCTCTAAAGTCCAATGGGATGAGAGTTCTATATGAAAGACTTCTCATTTGTTCCATGCCTGAAGTTTCCTCTGCTATGACTTTTCTTGTGTATGATGAGAATTCCAGCCTGAGACCTTCCTGCATTTGTTCCATCCATACGGCCTTATTTCAGGGAGCATCTTTATGTTCAGTAAGGACTGAATCATTCCTAGAGTTATCTCCACTTTTATCACATGCATACATTTCTCTCCTGCATGAGTTTTCTTATGTTGAAAGAGTTAAGAACTCCAAATGAAAGATGTTCCACATCCATTGTATTTGTATGAGTGTTTTGCCTGTACCTGTGTTGTGAAATGCCCACAGAGACCAGAAGAGGACATTGAATCTGCTGGAACTGGAGTTATGGATGGTTGTTAATCACCATGTGGGTGCTGGGAACTGAACCCAGGTCCTCTGGAAGAGTAGCCAGTGCTTCTAACTGCTGAACCATCTCTCCAGCCCAACAATACCAATCTTTGATGTTCCTTTAAGGATGATTGGTAGAAGTTATTATCATACTCTTTGTAGTCATACTGTTTTGTTTTTCTTTTCTCTCACCAATTGAAGTCTTGGTTGTTCATTAGTGGTGGGCTCTCATTAAAGAATTGATGAAATTCCTTATGTTCATAGTTTTTCTCCTGTGTGCATTCCTTTACAATCACTGCAAAGTATTAGTTAAAAGACTTTACAGTGTAAGTCTTTTTGAAAAATCCTCTCCAGTTTGCATTCTTACAGGGAAATTTGGCTCAGAAGGTGCTTTGCCAGCCTGTTCTTTTCACAGGTATCTGTGTCTGCATGGATTATGGCTGAGTTACTTTCCAACTTTCAGTCTGTATACCTGGTTTATAGAAATACTCTGAGAAACTCTGAGGTGGAACAGAGTTTAAACTTTGCCGGGACTCTGCCCCAAGTTCACAGAGGTCAGCACTTCTTTGTGACAGTACTGGCCTTTGCTTGAAGACCTTTCACCTTGTAGCTGTGCTTTGGTTAGTGTGGTACATTTTTTGTTGGTTTTTACATCCCTAAACTCCCAACCTGGGAGCCATTTGTATCCCATGTGTATCTTTCCAACTTCATCCCATGGGACTGTTCTTTCTCAAAATGCTCTGCGTTGGAATCAATGCTTTGCTTTCACGATATCTCATTGACCCTGGACGACTACTTTGAAGATATGTGTGGCCCACAGACTACGTGTACTCTTCTTACTTCAACAGGGAGATGACTTCTGGCTGATACATCTGGTTCCTCACAGAGTGTAGGCTCTTACAGGTCCCCAGAGTCACATCCTGTCTTCTGAACACGATCCAGCTGCCTCTACACATCTTGCATGAGGATCAGGGCTATGTTCTTGAAGACTGCTGGTTCTTGAACTTGGGCTGATTCCAGGCACCCTGCTTCCTCTTTAGGGAATACCGAGATTACAATGCTTAGGACATAGAGTCCAGGAAGTCCATGACTGAATAGCTGCTATCTCCTAGGTCTGGTACATAAAGACACTACAAGTGCCACAGGTTAATAACCACCATCACTGAGGACTGACCGACAAGGCACTTGCCCAGCAGTGATGCAGCTACCGCTGTCATCCTTTTACACCTGACATCTAGCTAGTCCCACAGTGACCCAGACCAGTGAGTCTATGAGCAGAGGGTCTAGAGTGGAGGACAGCAGGGTCTGTGCAGCCAGCTGAGAGCTGATAAATGCAGGACCTATTGTGCTGTCCTGCTAGATCTTGCCTTGAGTGGTCATCTCCCTGTGCTCTAGCTCACCACCCTCCCATGCCAAGGCCTTACCTCAGCTGGACAATTGGGAGTTGTGATGCTATTGTAAATGGGTTTGAATTGTTTTTTACTGTAAGTGTCTGGAAATGCTGCTGACTACAGCTGAGCGTGTAGCCTAATGATAGAGCTCAGTTAGTAGCATGGGCTTGCCACACACCAGGGTCAGGGGCCAGGGCTGAGTGTTTTTGTTGGTTGGTTTCCTATCTTGCATCTTTACTGAATTTGTTGATCAGTTTTAACATTTTTGGTTTTGGCTTTGCTTTGTTACTGTTTTATGTAGTTGGGGATGAGACCCAGGGCTTTGAGGCTGGTTGGAAAGTGCCACGGAGCCACACTCTCAGTTTAGGATTGTTTTTTGGGAGATTCTGTTGAGTGTACTTTTGACGGTTGGTACTTTTCTGGTTTTGTTTTTGGGTGCTATAAAGATACTGTTCTACATTTTTCTGTTCTTGTTTTCTTCATGACAATTCTCTTGTCTTTCTGGCCTCTGTTTTACTCCCACTGCTTACCTTACCCCCGCTGTCCTCAGTAGCAGTCAGAGGACACTGTGCCTTGGTGTGATGTTCCTTTCTTCAGCTTGAGGCTCACTGAGCTTCTTAGACTTAGAGGTATTAGTTTTCATAGATTTGAACATTTTACCCATTATTTCAGTTGTTTCTCTGCCTTCTTCCCCATCGTATTCCAACAATATGTATGCTGAGTGTCTTGAATTTGTTTACAGTGCACTAAAGTTGTATTCTTTTTATAAAAAATTATTTCTTTCTGTTTTTTGGGGGGGCAGTAGGAGACACATATGTATATACATATGTATGTATATATAAATACAGAAACTCATTATGTAGCCCTAGCTGGCCTGGAAATCTCTGCATAGACCAAGCTTGTTTCTAAATCACAGAGGTCTGCTTGCTTCTGTCTCCGGAGTGCTGAAATTAAAGGCATGCACCACCATACCTGGCATTATTTTGAACAGTATTTTGTTGGTAATTGCTTTATTTTTTAGTCTATAGTGTCTGTATAGTCATCCTATCCAGTGTAAAAAATATATATATGGCATTGCATTATTTATTTTTAGAGTTCTGGTTGGAGTAACTTTTATTCTTTCCTTTTCTGCCTTGAACATATAGAGGATATTATAGCAATCATTTGAATATCTTTTCACCAAAGTGGCTGCCATTTTTCTGAATCATTGTGTGCTTGGAATTCCAGAGGACAGCCATAGCTATTTGTCAGGTGTTGCCCACTGTTTTTAAGTCTGAAGCTTGCCAAGTCACCTGCCCCAGGGATCCTCCTGCCTCCACCTTCGCAGCACCAGGATTACAAACACACACCACCATACCAGCCTTTAAAAAATTGGCTCTGGGGATTAAATTCAGATCCTCTTGCTGCAAGACAATCACTTAACTGATCCATCTCCCCAGCTTTGAATTTTCTTATTAACAGTCATATGTTCCTATCTGCTTTAAAATATTAATTAGATGCCAGGTGCTATAAACTTCATATTATAGGATGCTGACGTTTCATTCCTTCAGGCATTAAAAAAAAACCCTTTTTACATTTATTTGTTACGTGTTTATATGTTGGCATACATGTGCCATGGCGTATGTGTGGAGATCAGAAGACAGCTTGTGGGAATCAGTTTTTTCCTTCTACCATGTGGGTTCTGGGAATTAAATTGAGATTGTCAGGCTTGGGCAAGAACTTTTACTTACTGAGCCATTTCGATGGTCTTCTTTAAGCACCTTTATGCTACCTGAGAACAGTTTGGAGTTTTGATGCACATTTTAATCTGGGTAATTATGTCACTCTTGTAGGCAATATCTTTCTTAACAGTCTCTCTGATCCTCTGTTTGAGTAACTTTGCACACTGACTGATTGACATCCAGATCATTCCTAGCCAAGGCTGCTTTCAGAGGGTTGTTCTAACAACTTTATAATTTAAAAAGTTTTATGTTGTGTGGATGTTCCATTTTTTAAAGATTTTAGCATTTTGACTTTATTCAAAGCAGGTGAGAAGTTGTGTTGTAACTTCTGTTTTGAGTATGGAGATTCGTATCTTGCCAGCTTGCTGGTGATTTGTAAGAGTTTTTCATAATCAGAACACTATTCCCAATGGTTGTGAGGAAGTGGCATGCATGTGTTTCTCGTACTAAATGACACTCTTCATTTTGGGAAGTAATACTCTTTCAAGCTTCCTGTTTTTGCTCTCTCTCCAGGAAGAACTTGTTGTGAATCACATGGCAGCAAAGATTATTGAGAACGTCTGCACCACGTTTTCTGCTCAGGCACAGGGCTTCATTACTGGAGAAATTGGGCCCGTTTTATGGTACCTGTTCAGACATTCCACTGTCGATTCTCTGAGGATAACAGCGATATCGGTAAGCTAGAGCATCCTTTGGGGATATACCTGGGTAGTCAAGCATCATGCTTGAGGAAATTTGCCCCTAGACCCCAGAGGAGAGCCTACTACAGCTATTTTCTGAAATCATTATAGTTCCTAACTGTATTCTAAAAGCTTATCCTTAAACCCATAGATAAGTATAGTTCTCAGCCCTCATCAAAAGAGCTTCTTTTTGCAACAGATGGAAACAATTAAAGAGGCCATAATGCAGAGTAAGTAACTGTGGGGAGCCCAGCCTGATTGATACATCTACAATGCAACCCCTATACCCAAGGCTCAGGGAACATTGCAGAAGAGGGGGGTGGAGAAATTGTAAGAGCCAGAGGACCAGGACACCTGCTGCTAGATAGTGACTTGACAGGGAAGTTGCACCCATGAAATCTCCACAATATGGTAGCCTAAACAAGACCTGCATAGTGACAACAGCAGCTGACATACCAGTGTGACTGGTATCAGTGGATGCTGAGGAAGGGAGAATAAGTTTACTCCAGGGACGAGTTCAATCTCAAGTGGTCAGCCCTAAACATATGTACACAGGAACACCACTGAAGGGACTCAGTATATTGCTTCTATATATACACATATGTATATATGTAACAACAGTAATTAAAGAGGTCAGGATATTGAGAAGGAGGAGTTGAAGGGGGAGAGAGAAGGGTGGAAATGATATAAACACAGTACTCATGTATGAAATTCTCAAAAAAAAAAAGAAATGAGTAAATTTAGGCATTGAGAACTGGTGAGATGGACTTAGCAGGTAAGAGCACTGGCTGCTCTTACAGGAGACCCAGATTTGATTTACAGCACCCTCATGGCAGCCAACAACTATCCCTAATTCTAGTTCCAGGTGATCTGATGCCCTCTACTGGCCTTGCAGGCACTGCATGCACAGGTACACGTACATACATGCAGGCAAAACACTCATACACATAAAACAAACAAAAAAAAAGGGCTGGAGACATGGCTCAGTGGTTAAGGCACTGGTTGCTCTTGCAGAGGATCCAGGTTCAATTCCCAGCACCCACATGGTAACTAACAACCATCTGTGACTCCAGTTCCAGGGAATCTAATACCCCCTCTGGCCTCTATGAGCATTGTATGTATGTAGTGCACCTACATATGTGCAGGCAAAACACTAATACGCGTAAAATAAAAATTAAAAAAAAAAAAGGAACAGGAGAGTTGGCTCAGGGTGAATATTGCTGCTTTTGCAGAAGACCTGAAATCAGTTCCTAGCATCCATGTCAGGCCGTTTATAACTACCTGTAACTTCAGCTCTAGGAGATCCCACATCCTCTTCTGGCCTCCACAGGCACCTGCATATATCTACACGAGGACACATATATACAGGGTTTCAAGTAGAAATAGAGTCTTTAAAAATTTTTTTGATTGAATAAGTGGGAATGTGAAATCTCAGCATAATGGTTGATGAGAGGTACAGTGTTTCTAAGTCACACTACAGTTCTGCCTGAATAAAGAAAAGGCCTGACTCTTAGCACTAGTTTTAAGACCAAGAGTAGATCCAGAGTCTGAGAACCAGCATTCCCTCACAGATGCATCACAGAACTGGGCTCCTGAGCCAAGCTTCACACATATTTTGATTCAAATAGTACCTTCAGCATAAATTGGGGATGTCAAAGCTAGGATCCACCCTGATCCCTAGGCCTAAAGATCGCATCCGTAATTTCAGACGGATTTCTCACTGTTTGAAATGAGAAAAATACTCTGCTTTCAGCACTTTGATATGGCAATCAGGCACACCCACATTCGTTCACTATCTTGGGTAGAGGGCAAAGTGGAGACCTGAGGGAGAAAGGTCAGATGCCCAGGTCACCAGAGGAGCACATGGCTCACTGAGCTTGTTCACATTATAAACAGTAACCTTTATGGCTGCAGGCTTAGGTGAGTCATTAGTTCAGATTGTGTCCATACAGAAAAACCATTCCTAAAACCATACCTACTGTGGGGAATAGCAGAATTTTAAAAATGGGGGACTGGAAAGCTTTGGGAGTCTATGGGCCGATGGCTCAGAGCCCACTGTGGGATCCATGGCAGCAGGTAGGCACAGGGGTTTGGCTGTTGTGTTTTCAGTGTCTCCTGCATATTCTTTTCTTTTTGTTTTTTCCTTTTGTTTGTGTGTGTGCATGTGTGGGTGAGTGCATGCTGTGGCACACTTGTGCAGGTCAGAGGAAAACTTGAAGGAGTCAGTTTTCTCTGTCTGCCATGTGGATCCAAGAGATTGAATTCTGGTCCTGACGCTTGGGGGCAGGCAACCCATAGAACCAACTTACTGGCCCTCTTTTTCCTCTCTTTGTATTTTTCTGTCTGCCACTGGAAATTGAGCCTAGGGCCTCACATGCCAGGCAAGTGTTCTGTCATTGAGCAGTTATCTCCAGCCCTCTTTTCACTTTTATTTTTTCTTTTTGTGACAAGTTTTTACTAAGTTTCCTGGACTGGCCTTGAAATTACTCTGTTGCCCAGGCAGACCTTGAACTTCTGAATCTCCTGCCTTAGCCTCCCAGGTCACTGAGCTCACAGGCCTGGACCTCCAGGTCCTCCTTGTATCTTCATGTTAGTCCACACATTCAGATTTGGTGCCAAATGGTTTTGTCCTGTGCAGTCCAGATAAGCTCAGGTTCACTGTTTGGGCTCCTGTGGTTCTGAGGTTCTGTTTCGATTGGTTACCTGCTGTTTTTCTGCAAATGACTTGGTGTAAAGGATAATTATGTATGAATATGTGTCAACATGGCTCTGCCAATTTAACAGCCTGTTGAATCTGTGCAAGACTTTCTCCTGTGACTTACGTGTCTCCTCTGAAATCCATGTCCTGTGACACCCTTGCTGTATTTCTCTAGTCAGCCACTGAGCTGGCTTTTCTGTCAAAGACCAGCTTCTTCCTGTTTCTCCAAATCTTCCTGGGAGCCTCACTCACTTGTCTGATTTTGCTTTTCCTAAATGCTGAATCTCTCCTTCATTAGATCCTTGTAATCAGGATTTAAGAATTCTTTAATCTGCCCCATTCCTCATAAAGTAAATGCCGACACATTCGGATGACTCTTGTCTCCATATCTGCTCTTAACAAAGACAGCTCTGTAAAGAGTTCCTTCAGCGTGTTGCTCCTTTCCAGCCAGCCTTTCCTCTCCAGCTCTGGTGGTCTCCTGACTGCTACAAAGCTGCCCTGGCCCTGCCTGCACTTCCGCGCCTCGAGGCACCTTTGCCTGCTGCAATTGGAGAACAGATATCCTAGTGTTGTCTTAGAGGGGTCCTGACTGGGTTCGTTTTCTCCACTAATTCAAGAATTAAAAGAGGGCCTGGGTTCAGTTCCCAGCGCCCATATGGTGGCTAACAACTATCTGTAACTCCAGTTCCAGGGGATCTGATACCCTCTTCTGGGCCGGAGAGTTGGCGCAGCTGTTAAAAGCTCAGGTTCACAACCAACTCCATTTTATTTATTTATTTTTATTTCTATTTTTTTAATACTTATTATTTTTATTTTATGTGTATGCATTATTGCCTGCATGTAGGTAAGTGCACCTGTGTTGTGCAGTGCCCGAGGAGGACAGAAGAGGCTGTTGGATCCCCTGGAACTGGAGTTACGGACAGTTGTTAGCTGCCATGTGGGTGCTAGGATTCGAACCTGGGTCTTCTGCAAGAACAGTCAGTGTTCTGCACTGGGGCCATTTCTCCAGCCCCCTAACTACATTTTAATAAGCAAATATTCCAAGCCAGCATGCTGAAGATTGGACTGGGTATTATTATAAGCACTAATGTGCTTTAAGCCCACTTACCCTCTGCTGCTTTGCAGCTCCTTGCTGAGCTTAATGCTCAGAGGTGGTTGCAGACTATCTTCAGGGTTGAGAGTATTTGGGCTTTGGAGCCTTGTCTTAAAGAAGAACCATTCTGGTGCCTTCATGTTGCTTTGAATGCTGCTTAGAAGCAGTGTGAACCTGGCTGTGCAGTGCAACTGGTTAGTGCACAGCACTTATACAGTAATAGGTTAGACCATCTTCTATCAAGAAATTTCCCCATTATCCATGGATACAGATTTTATATCAACAGAAGTCAGGTCTGCCAGGCCTTCCAAGAGCTCTCACTGCACTAATGAGATTGATTTTGCTGTGTTAAAGTAACTCTTGGGAGGACCCTAATTTGCTTGAAAACATTTTTTCTTTTGTTCCTGGGGCTTGAACCCAGGGCCTCACACATGCCAGGCAAGTGCTCTATCACTGGAATAGATCCAGAGTCCTTTTCATTTTATTTTGAGAGAGGGTCTCACTGAGTTGTCCAGCCTGTCCCTGAATTCTGGATCTTCCTGCCTCTTGAAGCCTTTGGTGTAGCTGGGATTGTAGGCACGCACCATCATTCTCGCTGGCACTATAATTTTTGATTATAGTGTGATCCTTTGGGGTATCAGTTAAAATGTTCTTTTAAAAATATTTGAATTAGAAGAACAATGAAATAGTTGTTTCACCAGTAGCAACTTCTTCGATTCATTACCAGTGAAATTTTAAAGCAGTCAAAGTTATTTCATCAGAACAAGATTTGTTTTCAATGAATTCATTTTTCACATTACCATTTTAAGATATTTCTGTGCAATTCCTACTGAAACTCAGCCAATTTGGATTTGCTTTCCTGTTTCTTAAACTATTTTCTAAATGATCATGATTAATATCCATTGTAATTCTCTTAGAAGAAAAAAAGATACTGAAATGTTATTTGAAAAATTCTCTGATTAGAATTTAATGGCCTTCTGGAATTTGATTCTGATACATCTGTCTCTGGATGCTTATGAGTTCCTGGTATGTCTGAGCTAGTCAGTGATTATTAAGATGGAGTTTAACAAATGCCCCGTTATGGTAGTTCCACAAAGAAAGGGAAGAGTTTTGTATTTTCGGGAGAAGGATGTATTTGGTGCTTCATAAGTGCTCACTTTCTCAGTGAATTGTACTTACTCACTAATTTAAAATATGGCAGTTA